TGACCAAAAGAGGGATGAAAAGTCTAATGTGGCATCCTACATGGTAGCTTGTAAAAAAAAGAATTAAAAAATAAAAAGGCAAGGAAGATGGTAGAAAAACCAAGTGTAGAAGACTACAGAAGAACTAACGATGCTCGATTGTCAACATAATGCTTGTAGGAAAAACTACTAACGAAGAAGTGTGTTTGGCAATGTTGTATTAACCGGAAGAACTCTCACCATTTGATCAATTATTCCTCTTGAGAATATGTATTGAAGTGTCTTGGGAGCGATAGGAGAAAGAAGAATCGCCCCAATTTGACTAGTTGGAGTTGGGTTTGGATGACTTCTAAGGAAGCTTATTGAGAAATTGCTTCAGCATTGCAATGAGTAGCTAAAATCTATATAAGCTTGTTCAGATTAAATCCTTGAAGAATTTTTTTATATCCTGAAGACAAAACTCTGCAGGAGCAAAAAAAAAAGGATACAAGCAATAGGATTAGAAACCCTAAAATTGAGTCATAGAAGCAAACACAAACTTCTTATACAATGTGGGATCCGCATCATAAAAGAAGAATGTATTAGGGAAATTTTGCTACATTGCAAGGTGCATTGATGAAAAATCAAAGCTATAAAGTTGGGGCCTCTAACAATGAATGCTAAAACTTCATATGCATATAACCTACAATTTCACACTCTATCTCTCTCTCATAGTAACCTATAAATCTGGCTGTCTTGTTGGCATATATACTTGATGATGATGCCAACACCAATCAATGCAACAAGGCAATACTTGATAGAGGAGGCCCCTCTTGCTTTGGACTTTTAGATTCTCAAAACCTTAATTGCCACGTTAGGTGATGGGTGGATCATTTTCAGAGTTTGAAAATTTTCATTAGTCAACATCATTGAAGATTAGTTAAAGGGTGACATTGCTCTACTTTAAACACTTTATAGGGTAACACTATTTCTTCTAAAATGTAAGGATATTAAATGCTCCTTTAAAAAAACTTTCAGGGCATCTTTGCCCCTTAATCTTTTTATAAATACAAATGCATCATATTTTATATATAATTTGATGCATTTTAACAAAGTTAGTATTATCTTTACACTCTAACCAAAAATTACACCAAGGTTCTAAAGAAATTGGCTATAGTTTTTTAATTTCATGGGATTTATTTGTATGTAGGTCTCTTATAGTTATATGAGACCTATACATAATTTTCCTTACTATCAATTTATATCAATGTACATTGTATAATATGAAAATTATATCAAGTGATGCCATTTATTAAAAATGATAAATAACACTCCCTCGTGTTCTTTTTAACATATACAAATTTTAAAAAACTTATATGGTTTGAAAATGTTGATTAATTTTAATAGTTTATGTTAAAAATTTAAAATTTTGGATTGAAATACTCTTAAAATTAATTATTAATTTAATGACACCATCATTTAATAAAAAGTAACTTTGAAAAAATATCATTACTAATTTTTAAAATTACTATTTTATTTAAATCATATAAAAATATTGTTTGTATTAAAAAATGGGACCTATGCTATGTCCTTACTTTGAGCTTATGTGGTTTTTTTTTTCACAAAGATACTATACACATATGAAAAGAAAATATCAAAATGCAATACTATAGGAATTATTTCTCAAAATATTACATATAAAATCGTTCTGGCATTGAACAATATATAAACTTAATCAAGCCAAGAAAATTTCTTTAATACATAGTCCCAAATACATCAAAACTTGATCTTGAGAAGAATGGTTTCTCAACATCACCTACCTCTCTCATATCAAATGGTTTGTTTAATAATTTAATGATAATCTGAATGAAAATGATGAGTAAATAATTGTTACTAATATGATTAAAGAATTATTATAAGGTGCACTAACGTAAGGCATTTTTAATCGAATCTCACCCTCCAACAAAGTAGTTGCCTATTTTCAAACTAATCCTATTTTTTCATATTTACCCCTATAAAATATCCTATAATAAATATAAAGTCATTATCAATAGGGGTACTTTTAAAAAAAGGTAATAATTACACCTTGAAAGACTAAAAATACTTTATATTTTTAAACATATAATTCATCAAAAAATGCCTTACATTTTTGAACGGAGTGAGTATTAAATTAAAATTATTAATAATAAATAAATAATTATTCAGTTTTATGAAAATTTACAGTGAATGAATAAGTTATATGGATGAAAAGTGAAAGTTAATTTACCTCACAAATAGTGACTTTTGGTACCACATTTTGTTCTCCTTCTCATACGTTGTGGTTGTTATTGTTGCATGTTCCTCTCTTTTTGATATTCAAGTGTTTCATTTATATGTGTAGTCGGCATATTTAAATCAAACTAAGGTGATTTAACTAAAAAAATTGACTGTTGAGGGGTGGCACATGTTTCATTTGACGATCCACCATGTTTAAAAGTTAAAATGTTGTATTCAATTAAAAATAGTGTAGGATTATTAAATAAAGCATGAATGATTGAAATTGAATAGGAATGGGTAAGTTGAAAAGGGATGATGATGATGATGATAGTATTGTAATAAGACTAAAATTGAGTGAGATTGAGAGAGGTGAAAGACGGTGATGATAATGATAAAGCTAGCATGTAATGAGATTGACTAAATTTTAAAGTTCTTATTCCCCTATATTTTCATTTTCAATTGGTGGTTAAGTAAACAAGTAGCTACCACATTGTTTGCTCGGTGTATCTCAAGGAATTTGTAGACGGGGCAACTCAACTCTTATTTAAGCAAGTTAAGGATCCCTATGAAATTGTTGTTATCTCATTACAAGTAAGATATTACGTTGGTATTGAGCAACCTATCTTGATAATCAATGTAATGAGAGCATTCTAAACGAAAATTAACCGTTAGCATGTATAACTCCATTGCTATATCAACCTAAAATAAATAAGAAGATATTAGATTATAACAATTTTATTAAAAGAAAAAAGATGGTAGGAGTAGAAGAAGGTAAAAAACTTATCGCATACCCAGTATCACTACTAATACATTATATTTGTTATCAAGTGTGTCTCAAACTCATCGAGTGCTGGAGGAGCATTACAATAGTAAGTGGTTTTCTATCTTATGCTTGAATGGATATGGAGTTTTTTGAAGTCTAATTTGTAGTCTTTTTGCCTCATAATTAAATTGAGTGGTAATTTCTCAAATGAACAAGTGTGGAAGGAATTGGCTGATGATTACCAAATTGTCTTAGTACATGATTAGGGTGATACCATTCTATAATATGAAGGGGGAATTGAGGCAAGCCAAATCTTGGGTGTTGCCAAGCAATAATCTGGAATCAATTGGGTTACTTCAAAAGATTCACATGGCCGCTAAATTATCTTGTCATCAACCATTTTATAAAGGAAACTCTTATATTTTTACAAACATGGTACATGGTAATTTGTTGCCCAATATTTTTCCATTTATTATTACAAACATAATGTTAAAATCTGTATACGTTAAAAAAAGAATATTTATTGGGTGAATTTAGCATATTTAAAATATAAAGGAGGTAAGAGAGGATGATGAGGGTTTGCATAACCACAATTCTTTTGACACCTTTTACCTTTCAATCCACTCAATTAAGGGAAGGTTGATAGTAAAAGGTGGTGTACCTTTTTGGGCTTTTATTTTGCACAAATTTCTTTTGTTTCTAAGGGAGCTCTATTTTTATTCCAAAAAAAAAAAACAAAGGTAAAAGAGGATAGATATCAGAACATGGATATAGAGAAGGTAATATTTGAATTATCTTTCATTACTTTCACAATATTTTACTTAGATATTATAGATATATAATTCCATATATAATTTATAGATATATTTGTCATGATTAATAATATATGTAATTTATTCTCTAAGATTTTTAAATTAATAAACTTACATAAACAATTAATTAGTATAAGCATTAAAAATAAATAAAATTATAGAAGATTGTATATTAATTTTAAAAATTGACCTCCCTTTTACATTTATGCCTATTCTACCCCTAATTATTCTATAAAAAAATTAACTCTATCTTTACACCTACAATTGAGAAGAGCTTAACATACAAAACATTCATGATTAAATGTTAAGTTTTTACTCATGATTTGAAAAACAGAATATTAACTTTGATATAAAAGTTGAAAAAATATTAAGAAAATATAACTTAATTAAATGGAGAGTTAGGCTTTAAGCAGATAAAAATGAAGAAAATGCACTTCAAACTCTCTCTCTCTCTCTATTTTTTCAATAAATAAAAGAGCAGCCGACAAGCTGCTAGAGTTTAAACAATCATGATCTAGCAATCTTCTAATCTCATGAGGATTACTAAATTGTTGATAATCATGTCCATGTTGAAGTGCTCGCTTAGCTAAGAAGTCTACAATTTTATTAGTTGAGCAATAAGCATGCAAAACCTCAACCTTCCACTCCCTCTAAAGACACGTATGAGCTTTCTCAATTAGCAACTGAGTAGATAAATATAATAGAAAAAAAAAGAACTTTGAAGTTTGAATAAAAGAAAAATGAGAGGTCATGAGAAATGAAGGAGGAGGGAATGAAGTAGGCAACAATGTATTATGTCTTGAATTTCTTATAAAGCCAATTTAAAGCTTCACGTGCACATGTACATGAATAAAATATAATGTCATACAGGAAAAACAAAAGGCATGAAAGAATCTAACAAATTGTTGATGCGAGAGAAAGTAAAAATTTTCAAATAAAATGTCACATTTAATTTTAAAATTATTTTTAATTTAAATGAGTTGTTCACAATTTCAAACTCTCGATTTGAATGATTTTTGATATAATATATTGATAAATACTTTTTACCATAATATTTAGATAAATTTTTTTAGTGTTTATAATATATTAGTAGAAAAGCGGATTGTATGAATGAGCATCTAGGGAAAAAAGGTTTTTTTTGAACGAGCACTACTTATTAGGGAATTATTACTTATAAATAAATAAATAAATGCGGTCCCCTTATTTACTTTACAAGGAAAGACGAAAAAATAGGGGCGGAGGGAAGTCCGTGCGGTCATGTCGCTCACGCTGAGCTCCAGGTTCTTTGAGAGTACCAAGCACTGCGTCTCGCCGGTGTGTGCTTCTCTCAGTCACAGATCTCGCCCTCCCACCTCCCTCCTGTTTCCTCGCCGCCCTCCCTCTTGTTTTACTGCCATGCTCTCTCTATCCACTCCTGCTGCCATGGGAGACCTTCCTGATGCTGCCATGGACGCTGTCCAGCGCCGCCTCATGTTCGAAGACGAGTCTGTTCTCCTTTCCCTTTCTTCTCTCCCTCCCTCCGTCCCTCCCGCAACTCTTCGTTACCTTCGATTTTTAGTTTTCTACAACAACTCTTCTGTAGCTCCTCTTGCTTTTCTTTATTTTTGGCCGACGAATTAAGTCTCTCGTTTCCGTGTTTTGTTACTTTTCAGTTGATTAATTTCAATTTAATTAACCACCTTTTCAATTAAAAGTCACGGATCTTGTGTCTATTGCACCAGTCCTCTGCCTCGCTGTTCGTTTATGCCATTCTTTAGCATGAAATTTGTTGAGCTGAAGTGAGCCTTAGTAGCTTGTGATTTTCACTTTATTTAAGTTTACGGCTACAATCAACTTGTTTCCGGTTCCTCGTTTGCTTCTGGAGTTCAGATAATAATTGCTGCTCATATGTTTTCTTAAAGTCGGCTGTTCTGTGATGGGAAATGACTTTTCTTTGCTAAGATTCATGGATAATTTTTCAGGTTTCTAGGAGTATTACTGTAACTACATTCTCCTTCTTTTACTTGCATGTATCCTGACTTTTATATGTACTCTTCCCTGGAATTGATAGTGGATTTGTTTTTATACTTTCTACAGATGCATTTTGGTGGATGCGAATGATCGTGTTGTCGGTCATGATTCCAAATACAATTGTAAGGGAAATTTCGATGTTTGAATTTCATATGCATTCTGATGTCTTCCAAGCTTTGTTTCTTGAAAAGATCAAAATAAAATATCTCTTCTTTCTTGTGTGATGGTTCTGGTTCTTTCTTGTGTTATATGAACTCCCATATTCTAAATCGCAATAATCCTCACATTTATAAATATAAATAAGTAACTCATTGGTGTATGTTGTGAGATTATCTCAATATGCTAAATAACAAGGCTCTGAAATCCGTAGCAGCAGAGTTTGCTCGCGATGTGCTTGGTAATCTGAAAGTTGAGTTACATATTTTGTGTTTCCAGATCACTCAGTTTAGAAGCTGTAAGCAAAGTTGTTCCTAAACTATCATGCATGAGAAATATATCAACTTATTTTATATGGACTTGTCTGTATTTTTAATGCAAGCAAACTGCTAAGCGACGATGATGCAGGATTGGCTGCAAATGGTTGTTTTAAATTGCTCATATCATATCTTGATAGTAGTTTTAGAGTTAATGTATTTAGCAGACACTCAATCTTCTACGCAAATCCATGCTATCATCCCCCCTTTCCCCGTCATTTCACCTCCTGATGCAGAAAAATGAGCATGGTAACTTGTAACTTAATTAGAACTTAATTTCCTTTGTACTCTTCTGCTTACTTGTGGCTATGTTAAGTAATTTCTTTGAACTTAAATTTTCTAGGTCACTTGATGGAGAAGATTGAATCTGAAAATTTGCTACATAGAGCTTTCAGTGTATTTCTGTTCAACTCAAAGTTTGAGCTGCTTCTTCAGGTATTCATTCATCTTTCTATTAATTGGTGGCCTCGTTGATAGGCATGCAGGGTATGTCTTGTTCTGAAACAAAATTAACAATTTTCGGAGTTTTGAGCAGATGCTGAGACCTTGTTTGTCGTCTCTTATCTATATCCTATGTTTGTTGGATAAATTATCTTCATAGATGCCAAAAATGTCTTTATTTCAGTGCAACAATTATACCTTGATTGGTTGAGAAACATCTTCTTGCAAGTTATGAAGTGGGCTTAAGAGTTAAGAGTTAAGTGTGTTTCATATGAACGGAGACATAAGTTGTAACAACTTCAATGCATTCCTTTCATGCATGATTTTGAGACACTTGTATTCTAAGTGGACGAACAAAATTAGATCTTCATTTATATATTTAAAATTATAAAATAAGGAAATGACAAAAATTCTTTGTCGTTGGTGGAGGATTGTCCACGGCAAACAATTGAGTAAAGAGGTCCCAGCTGCTGACTGTTGTGAATTCATATAATTAATATATATATTGTGAATTAAAGTTCAAGCAGCATGATGAGATATTCTTCTGCTTGGTTATGTATTGAAAATTCTCCATAAGGCACGCCTGTTCACTAGTCTCAGGTTTTGTTTGCGTGTGTCGACTAAGATCCTGTTATGTTCTATGAAGCAACGATCTGCAACAAAGGTGACATTTCCTCTTGTGTGGACAAACACCTGCTGCAGCCATCCATTGTACCGTGAATCAGAGCTTATTGAAGAGCATGCCCTTGGTATATGTTGTATACTTTTTATATTAAATGAGAAGATCGTACCAATGCCTTTCTTAAACGGTTCCTGCCTCCTTATGTGTCAGGAGTGAGAAATGCAGCCCAGAGGAAACTTTTGGACGAACTTGGTATTGCTGCTGAAGATGTGCCAGTTGATCAGTTCATCCCATTGGGTCGCATGCTTTACAAGGCACCTTCTGACGGCAAATGGGGGGAGCATGAACGTCAGGCAACTTACGTTGGTTTCTAGTTTTAGTGCAAGTGATCTTTCTTCGGACTGTTTTGTTTACAATTGTTTATTTCCCTCATTGCAGTTGATTATCTGCTATTCATAGTTCGGGATGTTGGTGTTCATCCTAATCCAGATGAAGTGGCTGATATTAAATACGTGAATCGAGAGCAATTGAAGGAGCTGCTGAAGAAAGCTGACGCTGGTGAGGAAGGATTGAAACTGTCTCCTTGGTTCAGACTAGTCGTGGACAATTTCCTATTCAAGTGGTGGGACCATGTCGAACGAGGAGATCTTAAAGAGGTCGCTGACATGAAAACCATTCACAAGTTGACCTAAACTGGTAGCAATGTTGAATTGAAGTTGGCTTCTTGTACTCGAAGGATTTGATGCACTGGCCTTTTACGTCGTTCAATTTGTCTTTTGTTTGAATGTCAGGACCATGATAATGGGTTGTATCGCTTGAATTGGCCAACCCGTGCAAGCACGGGGTTGTCGCCAGTTGTCTCTTATAGTTGGTTGAGAAATGTAGTGTGAAGATTGGGTTAGTGGGACGTGAGTACTCGTTAATAAAGTCCTGGCTGTTCTCAAGTCATTTCATGCGCCCAATCTCCTTAAATGAAACAGTCATGTTTGTCATCCCACCTCTTTTCATTGATGTAGGTTCTTAGAAATATGAAAGTGGAAGTTTTAAAAATGTTAAAATTTATTAACTTTAAAAATTTAATAAGTTTTTAACTTTATTTTTATTAAATGCATATACTTTCTCTCACGAGTATTTGAGAAGGTAAAATGAAACATTTGAGACAAAAATTAATGACATGTTTTATAAATAATATTAAAAAAATTGTTCTCTCCTTATAAATAGGATGGTAAGGAGCAAGCAATAAGGGGATTTTAAATTATATAGAGGAAATTTTGTAAATTTTTTTAACGTTTTTATCATTTTAAGCAAATTTTGATGACATTAATAGATTTATATAATAAGGCATAAGGGGATTCTAGGGTGGGCCAGCCCTCCCAAGTAACACCATTATGCAATATTTGGTAGGTTGAAAAATATTCTATATTAAAAAATGACATACCTATTTCATTTATATATATATATATATATATATTTATTTATTTATTTCATTTTTGGAAAAGACTTTTTTCTGTACCACGCATACAATTACTTTTTATATCGTGTCGGTCCACCTTTATTACTCTCTTCATTTTAGATTATAAAATGCTTTTAAATAAAATTTTACATATTAATAAACTTCATTAAGTGCACTTAGCAATCTTCTATTTTTAAAATAAAAATATAAACTTTTAAAAACACCCATAATTTAATATATTGAAAAGAGAAGGGACGAAAATTAATTATAAAGAGAAAACTAATCATATTAGAATTAGTATATTCAGCAAAACCTTAATCTATCCAAAAATTTTATATTTAGGATGAATTTTTTTTAAAGCGTTCTATAATTTGAGATAAAAAGGGTACTTTTTTTTTTTTTGTTTTTTACCTTGGCTTTTCTAGTGAGCAGGTTCTCTCCAGCTCCGGGCTCCGGGGTTCTTCTACATCAGCCCTCATCAAAAAGAATCATAGCCCAATGCTTGGTTTTTTAAAAGCCCAATGCTTTTCATTTTGTAGTCCTTTTTTTATCCTCACATAGAACGAGTTTTTGTTGGCCCAATAACAAAATCCTGAGTCGATCGCCTTTGTTTTTCATTCCATAAAACTTTGAGAGAGGATACTCCTTTTTTTTTTGTTTGAACGAAGAGAGAGGATACTCGTTAATCCTCTCGAATAAATATCACCGTCAGAGCACGCAGCCTGGATCCCCTCTGTTCTTTTTCCTCGTCGTTCACCCCACCCCAATTCCCAATCAAGCGCAGGGTCTCTCAGACTCACCGACCTTCCGATCCATTTTCATCTTGGTTTATGAGGTATCTTCCCTCGCCCCCCTCTATTTTTTTTTTTTCATCTTTTTGATTAGGTTTCGTTTTTCCTGTCTTACTGATATAAAAAGTAGCCTTTATGTGATCTGTTTCGCCGTCCTCAGAACCCAACCGTATTCTAATTCTCTTCTTGATCAAGTACGGATTTTCTTTCTCTTTTTTCCCCTTGTTAAATGATCTGGATACGTATCTTCTCTCAATGGGTCTATTTTTATATTCGCTCCGGTGAATTTCTTTGGGTAGGCTTTTGTCCTAGGTCTTTTTTAATACCGGCCAACGCAAGCTCCTTCGTAAGGATTTTACAGGTCTTCGCAACCTGATCCGCCCTTTCTCTAGGCAATACTTTGTGGGTCCATTCCACCTAAAATTAATTGGCATCTTTGTGGAAAGAACTATGGTTTTTGGTATGCAGGTCGGGGAATTATTTTTCCTCACCTTTTTTCTCTTGCTTGATTAATTTTCATGGGGGAACAAGCGTTCGATTTTCTTCGATTTTATAATTTGATTTATGGATTTTCACTCGAGTTCTTAAACGACGTTAACTTTCTCTTGAATAATTTTCGTATGATTGGAACATCATTCGGTTCCGGGGAACATTTTTTTCGGATCTTGGAAGTGTTTTCCCCCCTTCTATTGGTAGTGGACGATGGCTTCTTGACGTTGAGTGCATAATGTTATACTTGCTTCTCACTTGGCTAATCTTGATTGTTCTTGTTGCAGCTCGAAGGAGAGACCCACTCTTGGGTAAGTCTTGTTTTCCACAACTGCTTCGTTCTGTTCTTTCTGTTTTTGAATATTTTTCTATCGAGTCTATTCTATTCCTTCTATGTTCACATATCGTAAGTCCTACATTTTTTAGGTCTTGAAACGTCTGTAACTGGGGTTTAATTATTTTTCCTAGTTATTTACTCTGAATTTTGAGTAGATGAAACCAATTTTTGGAAGCGACACCAATTGTTTGAGGATACCGTGTATATACAACCATGTTTACTGATTTACCTGTTTATCAATTTTCCTTTTTGCATTTTGGCAAACTTATATGAGGTAAATTTTATGTTACATGTACATACCCAGATCATCAAGTTAATGATCAGTATGATCTGGTTGTTGTTACTGTTCAGCTCACGATTTGTTTTGATTTTTGTTGCTGACCTGGTCAATCACCAACGAAATCTAACTTAAATTTAATTTCTGGCGGATGCAATGTCTTTACTGAATCTTTTGTCTTTTGTACTGTTTGTTACAATTTTCAGTGGTACGCGGATTAAGACCCGCAAACGGAATATTGCAGCGCCACTGGACCCTGCAGCATTTTCGGATGCAGTGGTCCAGATTTACTTGGATAATGCTGGTGATCTGGTAGTATGGCATACAATTTTAAATGCTAGCCTATATTTGAACATTTTTGTGGACGTGCCATGCTGCATGTACATATTGTTTTTTCTTTTTTAACTCACGCTGATTAAGTGATTTTTGTTTACAGGAACTTGTTGCTAAGAGCATTGAGTCCTCAGACCTTAACTTCTCAAGATACGGTGACACCTTTTTTGAGGCAAGCTCTGTGAAACAGTATAAGTTTAAAAAAATATTTTTTTTTGAATAATAGATTATAGATATCCCATCTGGAATTTTTCTTTTTAATTCTGGATTTGATTGTGGAGATTATTAGAAATTTGATACAAAGCATCATGGCAGTACAGTGATAGTGTGCGTTCCTCAGATGACTTCTGCTCTATTAAGATTCTGGGTGTTATGTCATGCAATTTATTATTGTTGTACTGTTATCTATTATTCTGACTTTGTTGTTCTGAGTGGCTATAGCCTACAGTTTGTCTGAGGTCCATGTCATCATTAATACTTCTATTGTCAATCTGTTTTTAGATTACAACTCTCTTATATGCATGTTAACACAAATGACAAAAGTGATGCTTGGATGATTTAAAGTAAGAGCTTGGTTTGCCTAAACGCTTTATTAACATAAATGACTAGAGTAATGCTTGTTTGCTAATTCAGCGTCGATGAGCCATTTTGCTTTAAATTTTCTCGTTTTACTGTTGTGGTACTACTAAACAACTATTATGCTGATCAGAGTTGCAAAACTTGATAAATTAGGCAGACGTTGAATTTAAAATTTTGCTTCCTTAATCCTCACTTATTCATCTGCAAGAAAATTAGTCATATTATTTTAGTTTGAAAATTTGAATTCTCTTGTGCCTTTTTTTGATTTATGCTAAGGAAATTTTAACCCCCCCTAAAAAGCTTTATTTGTTTTCGATTTCTGTGAGCCCTCTAAATGATTTTGAGATCTGCCAGTGACTTTCTGTTACTTGTTTTTTATTCCGGGACATAAATATTTGTTATCTACAAAATCAATTTCATCATTCCATTTTTTGTTCCTTTTTTCTTTTGCTTTAAATTTTAGGGTAAACATATCTTTTGGTTCTTGTACTTTACTCGCATTTTGCTTTTGGTTTCTATATTTTTTTTCCAGTGTTTTAGATCTCTACACTTTTGTTTTTCATTGTTTTGAGTCTTTTCAAGGTTCCTATACTTTGCTCATAAAGGGACTGAAAATAATAAAAAACAAAAGTGTAGGGAACTAAAACACCTATAGGGACCAAAAGCAAAATACAAGTAAAGTATAGGGATCAAAAGTTATGTTTATCCCTAAATTTTATTATATTCTACATGCCAAATGAGAACCTTGCAATTGCTTTCTGCCAGAAAATTAATGTCTTGTAGCAAGTTGAAATTTGCTGCAGATTTCAGATCTATTACAAGTTACAGCACTATTCTTAGCCTGTTTGACTATCCTAGTTTGTTATTCTTAGTTGTTTCTGATTCATGCCTATATGATGTACCTATCTGTTGCATTACCACAGGTTGTTTTCACCGGGGGGCGTACACAACCTGGAACTACCAAGCCTGATGAGGGGGAGCGCCATCCTTATTCTATAATTGAGTGTGAGCCAAAGCGTGAAGTCATATCACCTTCTGTAATCTACATACAGAAGATTCTGCGCCGGAAGCCTTTTCTTATCAAGAATCTTGAAAATGTCATGCGAAAATTTTTGCAGTCCTTGGAACTTTTTGAGGAAAATGAAAGGAAAAAGTTGGCAATCTTCACAGCACTTGCATTCTCCCAAAAGCTATCTGGTCTCCCACCAGAAACTGTGTTCCAGCCACTTCTCAAAGATAATCTTGTGGCCAAAGGGTTAGTTCTATCATTTATAACTGACTTCTTTAAGGAGTATCTGGTTGACAACAGCCTTGATGATCTCATATCAATTCTGAAGCGGGGAAAAGTGGAGGACAATCTATTGGACTTCTTCCCCCCTGCAAAAAGATCTAATGATGCTTTCGCCGATCATTTCAAGTAAGATTTACTTATTAGTGACTCCAACATGTCTTTATAGACAATCTTAGGAAATGCCTGTGAATTATCATGGCTGATTACTTGGTTTTACTTGAATATCATTTTTCACCTTTACCCCCAGTTTGACTTCAAAAGCTAGTGCCAATAATATTCGTCTTTGTGTAATTTGTTAGCATGTGATTTTTGTGACACTTTAGTTATGGGTTTGATCCTTAACTCTCTCTCTGTTTGTTTTTCTGTCTTAGACTGCTGGTATCCCAGCATGTCTTTAG